CAGTGATTTCACAAAACTGGACCAAATAATTTCTATTTTTTCATGAAACGAACAAATGTTGGCTTCTTTTCTCGAGGTTCTAGAAGAAAAAATCTCAAAATAATGTTTTATTTCAAAGTTCGAGTGATAGGGTAGAGAACTACTTCGGCCTAATTGCAGAAAACATCAAATAAATCCATGATTTCAGAGTTAACAAGTCAATTATGCGTTTGGTACGGTACTTTAGTTAATAAGCTACGGAACGAAGTCAATGAGAACGCGTGATATGAAGGTTTGTATTCTCAAAAACAAAAGAAGCGCTCCGACCGAATCAATTTTTATCTTCATCCGATAGGCCGAAGTGAATTCATTGCCGGTTCAATAGCGTTTCAATGTGATAGGCCAAGTTTAGAATCCGTAGGTCGAGTTTGGCGTCAAGAAGCTGTGTTAGACTTTTGACAATATCTCAACGATTGGTTTCTCTTTATCAAATCTTACGGTACATACGGAAAGGTAAATAAATTTGGAAGCTATCAGTAACAATAACATTCCGTTTGGTGCTAAACTTCGCTAGATTAAGAAAGACTAAGTGTGGGTTGTGCTTAATAGGCCGGAAATGGGGTAGTTAACCCTAGTAAACGTCATTTTAACTGCTCGAATGAAGTGGTTAATTAAGAAATATATCCCTGAATTTTTATTAAATTCGTTTATTTCCAAAAATGAATTCCCCGATATTTCCTGATTTTCCAGGTTTTTATTCAGGTAATGGGTAAACATATGCTGCCTAGAATCGCATGTCGGTCCCAACAACGTTATCCACTATCAATTAGCATCTACTTTCATATTATGTGATAAAACTACGGACTTTGATCGTGAAAAATGTGATCATCAAGTCAGTTTGTCCTGGGGGCGACCCCGGCGTAATGGTTAGCATCCATACCTCTCACGCCAAAGCCACGAGTTCAAATCTCACCCCCGGACAAGTCACGAATAACCCAAGAGCGTTAAAGTGACTATAATAATAAAAAAAAAAATGTCAGTTTGTCCCATCAAGCTAAGTAATCACAGTCGCATTCTGAAATTCCATCGTCCAGAAGTCAAATTACAGTTCTGTTTTTTGAAGGTACCATATTTTTGAAACTGATCATAACTCAAAAAAAGGGTCAATACATATGCTGATTTTTGAAATATTTACATGGACATTTCACTCCGTAACTTACTGTCATTTTCTCAATGTCTACTTTTTCCATATGGGACTGATATGCGATTCTAGGCAGCATAATTGTATCTAATACTGTGCTCTTATGGCGGTAAGCTCCAACTCGGATTAACTTTTAATACCGTCCCTGTTTGTATGATCTGAAAAATGTTTGCTCAGAGTTATGTTGATTAACTCTGATGTCAACATCAAACCAGCCGGACATTCTTGATCGGGATTTAATCCGAGGATAATACCGGTTGGAGCTTACCACCATTAAAGTTTGAAACTTAAATCAACCTTATATTAAATCATGAGGGTGTACAGAGGTTCATGGGTGTATCATGAATAGAACCTCTGTTTCTAAAGTTGCCCAGAGTCTAGTTCGAGTGATCGAGACTGTAAAACATACGTAATCTTTAAAATTTTCCGGGTTATTAATATTCAACAACTTTGAATATCTAAGAACACCACGAAAATATTAATTTTACATGTGAAGAGTTGTTTTGCTTCTTGAAAGTATCAAATTTTCATTCAAAGGTAAAGAAATTTCTAGAATTTTTGGAGAATTTTGATTGCTATTGTTTTGAAAAATAAATGTTCATAAAATGAAATATGCTCTGAATAATTCTCACAAACTGCTCAATTATTTACTTTAAAAATTCTTTAGTCGTCCCTTGGAATGCAGAATTACCTTAAGTATTCTCTAAATTATATTTAAATTCTCCTGAAAATTTCCTTGGAAACACTCCCTTTGGAATACATCTAGAAATTTCTTAAAGTTCTCTTATGCATTTAGTTGCAACTCTTCGCTGAATTAGTAATTCAAATTTTAAAACGCTCTAAGAACTCACCTCAGAATTTCCCCCGATATTCTCTAGGAATCCTCTACATAATTATTTTGAAATTATCACAAGAATTTGAAGAGAATTCTCTGAAAAATATATTAATATCATTCAAGGTCCGTCCCAACTTTGAACTTTGTTTTCAAATCTGGAAACATGAAATCTTAATCTTTTGAAAATCTGATCTCTGGAATCATAAAAATCGACACAATGAGACCATTTGTCTTAGATTGTGACACGACTTCTGGCTATCTGGGTTGAGTAGATATTATTTATTTCTTAAGATAGTTATAATATTAGTTTTACGACAGTCTGTAGTGAACAAGCAGCTTTTATCATGGTCAAGATTTTGAACGCCTTTGTAAGCCGATTTACTTGGTTTGATGTATTGGCGTGAATGAATTTTGATTCAAACAAAATTAGCTAAGATTCATCTGACTAAAGATCATTTGAAAAGTCTTCCATATGACGCATTGTTCAACGTAAAATTGAAGGAGAGGAGATTTTTATCGATGGACCAATCTTTAGGTCGATAGGCCTACATTATAGTAATTTCTCCTATATGTTTGATTCTCGAGAAATTGAAGCTCGATTTCATCAGTATTGTTTAACTTTTCAATTGATATTTTATTCATTTTATGGCCATGAAAAACCATTTTTCAGAAAAGGAGGAATATATTTTACTTTCATGACATCTATTTGCTCAAAGCAATGGATTTTAAAAGCTACATTCATACAAATAAATCTGAATTCTCGATTGAACAACGGAATTCACGACTTTTTCCCGCATTTCCCGAACGGATTGCCACCCTGTAAGCCAAGTGGGCGATCGGACCAAATGTTATAGATTGAACTAAGGGGTTGTTCATAAACTACGTAGAGTTTTTAAGATATTTCAAACGCCCTTCCCATAGCCAAGACAATCGGTCATACACATTATTGGACATTTATATAAATTGAACATAGACACTCGCCAACACCCCTGCCTCCTCAAGTTTCGACGTGGTTGATGAACAGCCCATAATAGAAATTCTTTTAAAAAACGATGAATAAATTTGAGCTCAATTTTTTCCCTCAATTCATCTGTTCGAACATTGAAATAGTTCAAGATAATCCGATGAAAAATTACTGTAATAGTTTCATCTCTGATGTTTGTGAATTGCACAAGTATTAGTGCAGAACTTTGGGTAAATTATAAGTATTAGTGCAAGAAAACTTTTGAATTCACCCAAAGTTCTGCACTAAATACTTGTGCAATTCATAAACGTCAGAGAAGTCTACGCTACCGACGCCAGGGAGGCAGCTCCCACACCTGGACCATACATATCGAACCATCAACTCATGAACCGGGGACTAACGGCTTTACTTCCCCCTTCCGAAGGAAAGCGTGATCAGAGATGTTATGCCTCAGAACATCCCGGCGGCGCCGACTGGGATTGAACCCAGGCTTGCAAGGGTGAGAGGTAATCACGCTTACCTCTACACCACCGGTGCCGCTGCAGACTTTGTTTAGTCAACCCCAATTAGTGCGACTGGCGACGTGCAACCATCCCAAGTAACTATTTTGATGTTATCATGGTTTGAAGATATTTATAAAGGCCATAGCCGGATGTATCACGAGCGGTTGTGCTACATTATCCGAATGTCACTTCCCCGAACGCCGTTACTCCACATTCGAGGTAATATAGCACTATATAATCCCCCCTCCTCCAACTTAGATAATCGTCCACACACTGATTTTTTTTTTATTTGTATGGACCGTAATGACCATAAAATCATAATTCTCGCGACACTTTTCAAATAGACCAATGTAACAAATGTAAACAAATCGAGTTAAGCGATACAAACTATTGCTCTTCTATCATTGTATGTCATACAAAAACATCCATCCAAATTTACTTTCATTTATTTAAGATAATCATTGATCAAAAATTGTCCAATGTACAGTTTGAAATGATGGGTATATGATTGTTACTTCGATCATTCGGACTGCCTAACATGATTGGTGCTCATTTTCCAAAGACGGGGCCAATCTAAAGTTAGGTACTATACTCTGAAATCTGTGAAAGGGAATCTAGTATCATGTAGACAAAACGTCCAATGTAACTCTCATTGATTATGTCAATGAGAAAAATCGTCCAATGTAACATGTCCGATGTACAACTCGACTTGTCAAAACATTCTGTGTTTTTTTTCTATGTTGTAACATGAAATTCAAAGTAAAATTGTGATTTTACCGTTTCTTCTGAGTTTTCAACGTTATTATACACTGACTACATTAAAAATAGTATTGCAAAATGTATTGATTTAAACAGTTAAAATAATAATCTGTCGAACTTCAACTTCGATTTTCTCAAAATGGTGGATATGTTACATTGGTCTATTTGAAAAGTGACGCGAGAATTGTCCCATCTTTGCTGGATTTCCTATTCATATGGGACAGTTATGCTTTATGGGCAGCGTAGACACTCGCCAAAATCACAGGTCAAAATACAATAATATGTATATAGGTGCATAGAGAAATGAACAGAGAAAATCGACGAAGATAATCTGTCAATGTTACTTAGGACCTAATGCATTGTTCAGCTTGAAATTAATTATTTTATTGTCTTTTTTAAGTTACTTTTATTAATAGCTTTTTCCCTTATGTTTATATATCAGTTACTGTGTTTTCCTTGACCTGAGCAATGGTATAACCGACAAGGCTTAGGTGATAATATAATTATCCAGAAAAGTAGTTTGGTAGCTAACCATATTTTGACATGAAAAAATTATACTAATTTATATAAAAGTCAAATTTAAAATACATATGTATAAAACTAGTTTCAACATATCCCAAGACTTAGATCATTTTGATTTAAAGAAAAACCCATACTATAAAACTAACGATAACAGCACATAAAACTGAAATTTATTTTTTATGTAAACATCTAAAATCGAAATACCGCATCGAATAAAAACAATGGCGGACATCTTACCTGCTGCTCTGGTCGACTTCAATTAGCGTGATTGTCTGGAAAATCCTTTAACAGGCAGCTTTCTTTTCAACACAACAATCGATCAACGCTAACGATCACAATTTTAACCTTATTCCAAATAAAATTCATGCACTTCAGCTGCTCACTATTTCACAACCCATCCGTTTACGGTCGAGAAAAAAGAATAATTTGGCACTTGGCTGCAGATTGGCCTTCCACAAGACTTCTCCAAACACTATCACCCAGAGGAGCGCTAGGAATATCAAACACAAATGACTTCTGGTTCCACAACCACTTACAATTTGGAGCACTTCAAATTAGTTCAACCACGATTTCCGCTAATTTCGACAAAGAGGACACGTTATTTAAGACTTTCCGAGCAAATAACGAACGACGAAAAATATTTTTCTTCACCCCGAAATGGATCCGCGAATGGTTGCGCTGCTGCGACGACGACTGCTGCGACAAAACTCGATACTTTATTTTGACAACAAAGAGATTTTCTTCTCGAACACGAACTGACAGTTGTGACAGGGCATCAAGAGCTACGTTCTCAAAGGTGAATAAAAAATTTGTTGAAGCGGGTGGATGCGGGGGTAATTACCGTAATTACACGATAAATAATTCAGTGCCAACATTTCAAAGGGGCGTAATTGCATTTGTAAACAATGGCTTTAGCCGTCGATTTTTCGCGAATAAAATCTCACTCATGAAAAATAATGACACCAGCAGGTAGAGGAATGTTTCCACTACCAGCTAGCATTGTTATTTTGGAGAGGTAAGATTTCATTCGCGAGAAATTGACGGCTCAAGTCATTGTTTACAAAAGCAATTACGCCCCTTTGAAATGTTGGCACTGAATTTATTTATTGTTGTCATAAATCTCACTCAAAACGAAACATAATAATTATTACAATTCAGTGCCAACATTTCAAAGGGGCGTAATTGCATTTGTAAACAATGGTTTTAGTCGTCGATTTCTCGCGAATGAAAGCTCACTCATAAAAATGAATGACACCAGCAGGTAGATAAATGTTTCCTGTACCAGCTAGTATTGGTAATTTGGCAGGGTGGGCATTTTTTGCGAGAAATCGACGGCTAAAACCATTGTTTACAAAAGCAATTACGCCCCTTTGAAATGTTGGCACTGAATTATTGTAGCCTAGATTGTAGCTCATTCACCCGCCGCAAAGCACATGTGGCGTAGCAGTAGCTCAAGATTTTAAAATGGCAGTTAAAAAATTTACTTCCAGCTCTAAACAAAACGAGCAATTGACAAATCGAAGTTTAATTCGGCCACCGTAGCACTGAAATCGCAGCGGTGATAAGTTCTAAATAATGTGTCAAACAGAAAACATTTTTGAAATTGCGACCAAAAACTATTATTTTCTAAACGATTTAATCTGCTGATTAATGCACCGACTGAAATTAATTTTTAAGTGGCAATAGATTTAGTCGGTGGACGAATCGGGTGATCTGGATGATGTTTGTTTATTTGGAAGATATTTTCGAAACAAAGCACGATAAAATTAATTATATGATTTGAGTAGTAGCTATACTGAAGATCCGATAGATGTCGCCCCATCAGTGGTAGGAAAATCATTTTTGCAGTATGGGGAATATCAGAAAATCCACGATTTGTGACTAAACATGCTTTCACAGAAGGAAACAAATAAACGAGTGTTTACCTTATCACCATAGTAATGTACTCGTGCAATTTTTGTGCATCTAACACTGACCATAAAGACGATAATGAATAAAAACTGAAAATTTGCATGCATTTCCAAATGGTTTCCTACCATTCCCAGGCATTCGAAAGTGACTGGCCCTCTGGATGTGGATGATGTCAAAAACAACATCACATGATTAATTCAGAATTATATACCATTATTACGAGTACTACTTTTTTGCTTGGATCATGTTTTGACTCCCACAGAAACTCGCTAGAATAAATACAAAATAATAGTTTTTTGGTTGAAATTTCAAAAATGTATTCAGTATGACACATTATTTCGGACTTATCACCGCTGCGATTGCAGCGCCACGGTGGCCGATTGAAACTTGGATTTGTCAATTGCTCGGTGTATCACTAGACGAAAAACGATTTAATCTGCCGTTAAATACACCGACTAAAATTAATCACAAGAGGCAAAAGACTTAGTCGGTGGACGAATCGGGTGATTTGGATGATGTTTGTTAATTTGGAAGATATTTTCGAAACAAAGCACTTTAAAATTCTGCACTACATACTATTATTAAGAGTACTACTTTTTTGTTTAAATCATGTTTTGACTTCCACAGAAACTTGCTAGAATAAATAGAAAATAATAATTTTTTGGTCGCAATTTCATAAATGTTTGACACATTATTTTGGACTTCTCACCGCTGCGATTACAGCGCCACGGTGGCCGATTCACAAATAGATAGATTTGTCAACACGGTAACCGCAAAATACCCAATAATGACTACAAACAGACCCCCTTCACTCTTTGGAATTTAGAGACAGATAACAGCGCCAATAGGTCTTTGGCGATACAACGTTGAACTGCAGCGTTGGAAGAAAACACGCACACCATCATCTATACATGTACGAACCCACACCACTGAGCGGAGAGTACAGCGCAAATCAAAACACGAAATGGTGTCATTACTCATCGTCATCACTCAGCTTCGGCAGCTTTAGTTTACGATTTAATTCGCCGTCATTGAAAAATACCTTCTTTATAAAATAGAAAAGTAATCATTATTCCAACGTAATTTTTGAATAGCCAATAGCGTGCAGCGTTGGCCAAGGAAGACGGCATATTTTATTACGTTTGTTTAGCAATAATTTCGATACGTTGCGTTTTTTCCATGTATACTTCTATGCAACTTCTATTATGAAGAGCAACAGCTTCATAAATCATCAATTCTCGATTACTTTTTCGAAGGGACGTATCTGCATTTATTATTGTTTTTTCAAGGTTTTCTGATGCGTATAACGCGGTAATGATTGAAAATGGATGCAATCATAACGAAGTGAGAATCTTGCTATCGCAATATAATGATGATGACATCGATCATCCTCTTCCCTCGGCTGATCATCAACGTCCACGCTGCACGGACAGAAAATTGTTTGCATTGAACCAAAAAAAAACTTTATTTGTATTTACACAAACAATTCCGGTTGAAATTATATTGCATTTTATTGTTTCGATAATATTTATTCAAATAAATTCAAAATAAGATTCTTTTTGTTTTCATAAGCCACTCTTCAACTGCAACTATTGTAAAAATAACAATATTCTTTTATCAAGCCAACAATAGTTAATTTTAATTTAACATTTATTTGTTGTGTCAATTCCCCGGGCCATGAATGCAAAAATAACTACCAACCATTCCCTCGTGAAAACCCGGACAAAAATGTAAACAATAACAAAAAAATTCTCGTTTGATTCAGCTCTAGAGGTAAGTAAGTATGCTGCTGTTGCATAATATAGACAGTTTTTCTTTTTTTCCTTGATTTTTTTCCGTCGATCTTATTTTCAGTACTGAGTACCAATGCTCCCAACGCCAGGAACACCTGGACCCTACCTATCGACCCATCAATTCATGAACCGGAGAGATTTTATACCTCAGAAAGTTTTTTTTTTAATTTAATTGTTATTCTGTTGGTAACAAATAGAAAACAAAACATAAAAATAATCGCAAATTATTAAAAATTGAATCAAAAAACATATTTTTATTTCTACTGCGTATATTTTTAGGCTTAATAAAATAAATATGATTGAATCAACAAGAAATCTCTTTTAAAAACAAACATATTTTTTGTTGACCCAGCTGCCAAATTTGACAGCTTACGTCAAAACCATAAAAGCTCTTGTAAATTCGAAAAGATTTTTTTTTTGATTTAACAATCCATGGGTTTTTAAAAACAAAGATACTGGATTGTTGAAATAATAATGATTTCATTTTGCAGCCAAAACAAAATGAAATTCTTATTAAATTTACGTCAAATATTATTACGTTTAAAATATTTTTTTCTGCGTGTGGCATATGTCATACTGACACCTGTCATTTATTGAGCCCTGGTGGTAAAGTTGGCGGGGGACTCCCAACAGTTTCAATGTGCACTCACGAGATGGCACTGCGATCACATAAGGGTGGTGTATCCATTGCCTTGTTCGAGGAATTGATTTGTGGGATATCTTGTTAATGAAATATCTTTGATAGTATGTTATTTCTGACATTCTTCCCCCCAATACCATTTAATCCCGATTAACTTTTTCTTTTCAGAAATATTCTTTACAGTATACTGCACCGAGGTGAATTTCCATATACCTTTTATGTGTGAAACCACATAGTTTTTTGCAATTAGACTTCACAAATAAAAAATATGTTTGAAGAACATAAAAATTATTTGGTTTCCCACCAATGAATTCAATGACATATAAGAAATGAATTTCATTTGCTTTGGTAAATAGAATTTATGTGTAAGGTTTATAACATTTATTTCACGGTAGAACATAAAGATTATGTGTCTAATTCGAATGAAAGTCATGGTACAAACAATAACGTTTACGCACAGACAAACAGACATAACACTCGCAACTTGTTCATCGAACAAGCATTTAACGGACAATTTAAAAGTATCGTAGTTGGTAGTACCGTCACCTGTGGCGCGCATAGTCAATTCCCTTGCGTTTGACGTTTATACACTACCGCCATCTGTTCAGTGTAGTGCCCACTACAGTGAACTCAACAGATGGCGGTAATGTTTTAGCGACGATGTTTTACAGTGAGAAATATTTAATGTGTTATGTCTGTTTGTCTGTGGTTTACGTGTCAAGTTCATATATTTTATGTGCTAAAAATATAAATAAAATAATAACAATACAGGCTCTGGTAAATTATTTATTTTCCTGAAGATTTAACAGTGGATTGTATATTCCGATGTCTGTCGAAGGCGAGGTCGAAGGTGCCTCGGAGGGCTCATCGGAGAGTCTAGCGTATACATCGCCGCCTTTAGTCTCTACGTCCTCTTCCTGCGCGTCCTCCTCCTGCACGTCATCCTCCTGCAAGGCTTCGTCCTACACGTCCTCCTCATGCATGTCCAGCAGGAAGAATCCCTGTGTAGAATTAAAAAAAAAAAGTTATTTCAAACAAATAATTTTTGTTGCACTAACTCACGTTTGCCTTGCGCCATTTAGTTAGCCGACGGAAGATTTCATTGACATTTCCTCTGATTTTAAAGTTTCTCCGAGCTCATCACGGGAGTTGTTGGCTAATGTTTATGTGATTTTTTTTTTGCTACTAACAATCTAAAATAATAGTTTTATGGTAAATAGTTAATTATAAATAAGATAAATAATTATTTACCTTTGAGAATGCTCAAGTTTTGGTGGAAGATGGAGATGATTTAGCACAATTTGTGCAAACTTATTGTCTGACGCCATATTAATAGTGTGCACTGAATTGAATCACTTAAACATTATGTGTGAAAACACATGACATTTATGGCAGCACACATATAAATAAAATTTGTCACGCATATACGTGTAATGGGCTATCTTATAGTAGGTAAGGGGTTTATTATGAATATTATAAACATAATATTTTGAATATCTTATAAAAATTGTGTAGGGCTAAGAGGGGCATAGTGAACAGGTGGGGCAAAGTGAGCATCCCGTGCACCAGCTTGGACTTCCGGCCGTTCGGAACAAACTGCCAGTTGATTTGTTTCATGCAGCTAGAGATCCAGGGCCAAACTACGGGATGCTCACTATGCCCCACCTGTTCACTATGTCCCTCCTCCTCGTACACAGACAAAATAAACATTAAGTTTAGAATTTTATTAATGTGGGAACAACTCATGTCCAGGATGGTTTAGTGCAACTTTTGAATATATCTGACGAAAGCTACAGTGAAATGTTCATTATTATATTTTTGTTAATTATGAGATCATTCTAGATCTTGTCCCATATGCATAGGAAATCAAGCAGAGATGGCATAGTTTTGCCTATTTCATAATAAGAAATTAATTATATGATTTGAGTAGTAGCTATACTGAAGATCCGAGAGATGTCGCCCCTTAGGTGGTAGGAAAATCATTTTTGCAGTATGGAGAATATCAGAAAATCCGCGATTTGTGACTTAACATGCTTTTACAGAAGGAAACAAATAAACGAGTGTTTACCTCATTACCATAGTAATGTACTCGTGCAATTTTTGTGCATCTAAAACTGCCCATAAAGACGATAATGAATAAAAACTGAAAATTTTCATGCATTTCCAAATGGTTTCCTACCATTCACATACTTTCGAAGTGATGGATGTGGATGATATCAAATACATCAAAACATGATCAATTGAAAATTGAATAATAAAATTTCGTTTCAAAATACATTCCATTCATTACTAATGTAAGGCACTCAAATTAATTATAGTTTACAGTATAATTTCATGTATAGATAATGTTACGGTGTGACTGTTAATATCAATTAACGAGACACATGAAATCTAAATGTGTCACAATTGATTTTAAAGTGCTCATGAGTTAATTCATATCATAAGATTCACACATGAAATGCATGTGTTAGGCATATTGCGCAAAATTAAGTGTGAACTACATGTCAGAGACGTATACATTTTTTTTAAGTGTAGCAACTCCCCGGCTAGCTGAACTTAATGCCTTCACGGTAACCGCAAAGAGGCATTCTCAAGGGAAACTGGGACTACCCATTAAATGAGTAAAATGTTACCCATTTATGAGTTATTATAACTACACAAATAAGTAGTAAGTATTCATTTTTGAGTAACAAATACTCATAAATGGGTAATCTTTTTACTCATTTAATGGGTAGTTCCAGTTTCCCTCGAAAATGCGTACTTTTTAGTCAATATCGAGTCTTTTATAGTACTATAGTTCACGCATCGGGAAAGACACGGGAAAGACGAAACGAGGAAACGAGTTCGGACCAAGAGCGCGTAGCGACTCGCTTCGCGCGCGAGAGGCGCGTCGCGGCGCCGCGCGCTTGGTGCGGCGCGTTACAAAAATTGCTATAACTCGGCTCCCAATACTGGTGACAAAAATGTTGAAACGGTCCTGTATGGGAAAAAAGTCAGGGAACAATTCTAAAAAAAAAGCAATCTTGTATCGCGCGGGGAACACCAAAAAAATTGCATTTGTTTATAAAAAATTGTAATTATTATAAACAAATTACATTTTTGATGAATAAATTTTAGTGATTTTGGAAGAAACATGTGTAACAGGTGGGGTACTCCCTGCCCAGCACTAATGAGACCCCCCTCTACACTACCTCAGGGTCGGCATGCGCGCTTGAATATCACGGCCAAGAAAACACTCGAATATCTAACACACACAACACTTGTTTAACTATAGGCACCTTTATTGTTCCCACGTTCGTCCCACTTTCTTATTCGCTATCTCCTACCTCGTTACGCCTGACGTTTCTTCTAATTCTTCAGCGCGGGCCCGCTGTTGGTCCTTCCACAGCCACTCCTTCACCTTCCTCAGCTTCCTTCTGGGTACTTTTCACAGGCCAGTCGGTTCCTTTCCTCGACTTAGTTCGTAAGCCGGTCGCGTACTTCGGTACTTTCCGCGACGGCTCTTCGATCTCTCTCTCTCTCTCCTCACTATACTCGTGGCGTGGCGATGGGCCTTTGTTTAATATTCCCGGATACCTTCGTATCGGAAGATGCTCCGTGTCTAACCGTATACCGAATAACGGACACTACGGGGTCTGACCACGCCGTGGATGAATTGCCAGCGGTAAACTACGGGGTCCTGGATGGTTCTGCACCTCACTCTCCTTCTTCACTTTTTTTTCACGTCCTCACGGTTTTTTACTGGTTTCGGACTTGCTTGAACTAGCTTTACGAAGTATCGCTGTTGAGTATCGCCAATCAAATAATTCTCGACGATGGCGGCTGACCTATCCTCTCTCCTCCTCGCTGAGCCATCGTCCTTCCACCCTATTTCGCCTCATCATGGCCCCATTATGCCACCTCCTAATGGCCTCCAAATCCAGTAAACAGTGCCATCTGGTGGTAGGTAGCGGATCTTCCTGTCGTTTAGGCGGTGTGGCTGTGTACTGTCCAGTGGGTGATTTTGTGGGCGATGGGTGGTGTTGGTAGCTTGTATTCAAACCTTTCCTTGGCATATTGTTATACATAAAATACGAAACACTAATCGCGACAATCTCACTAATCTCAGACAAACAGACACACCACTGGTTACACATGTCTTCTTGTGATTATATCAAAACTGGAGAAAAATTCATTGGCCCGATCTAGAGATAAGATTTTTTTTCGAAAAAGGGGCAAAAAAACTTAATTGTTTATAACTTTTGTTTAAATGCGAATTTTGCCGAAATATTTTGGGTTATTGTTTGTCGTGGTAATAGCAATATATAGACGTATTTTGAATGGAATCCAATGATTTGTGAAAAATCAGTGGTCCACTTCAGGAATTTTGACTCACTAAAGAGTTATAACATATTGCAAGGGTGTTATAATAATTATCGACAAGGATAACGTCATCTTGTCAGCCTTAGCGGCGCCGGTGGTGTAGCATGATTGCCTCTCACCCATCAGACCTGGGTTCAATCCCAGTTGGCGCCGCCGGGATGTTCTGAGACATAACATCTCTGATCACACCTTCCTTCGGAAGGGAAATAAAGCCGTTGGTCCCCGGTTCATAAGTTGATGGGTCGATATGTAGGGTCCAGGTGTGAGAGCTGCCTCCCTGGCGTCGGTAGCATGGGTGCTCAGCACGGAAAACAAGATCGACGGAAAACAAATCAAGAAAAAAAATCTTGTCAGCCTGGTGTAACATGAACAAGGCATGAGATAGGTGCCATGGTGGCGTGACAATATATGAAAGACTGTAAATAGTCCAATCCAAATGATAAACAATTATAACGGAATTTAAAGGAAATAAACCAACCCACTCAAAGCTCTTCATGTAAATAGTCGTGAAATGTGAATTTCGGATTTCTATGAGATTAGAACATGGTCAAATTTTAAATATTTATTTCATCTCGAAAGCAAAGCTACAAAATAAGTATAACATTTTGTATTAGTATATAATAAAAAGTATAAAAATGATGCGCTTTAGCTGTCTTTTATTTTATTCATTTTTTTTTTGTTTTATGGTAAGCATCAACAAGCTATTATTGCGTTTTGATTGGCAAATCATCAATCCGAAAATCATCTTCTATCGTGCATATAATAAGTGTGCTGTTTAGTAACTTTAGAAATTTTTAGGTTATCGTTGATAGCATGAGCAGGACAGCGGCCTTCGTTTTGTTGCACATATTGCGTCTTGTACGAGCTAGTGCCGTGGAATTTATTATCATCACCGAACGAAATACTCGATGCATTGGCTTTCGTTGAGCTCTTCGTCGAATTCAGTGCTGTATGGTAGTCGCGCAACACCTTGGATTGTTGTGTGCTGGAATGTTGGCCGATAGTGCTACTGCTGGTGCTGATGTTTGTCGCAGTGGTTAGCGTAGGTGGTGGGCAAGGCTGCACCTTAGTACGATTGGTAATGGTTCCGGATTCCAACGTTTTCAAATAGTTATTCATTCTGGAATCGACAGACTCTTTGTCACGACGATGCAGGGAGCTGTAGCTGGTACGATTTGTTGTTGCGTACATTGTACTATCGTTTAGATTTGATATGCTTTTGCGTTGGATTGAACCAGAAACGCTCAAGCTACTGCTGGATGGCTGTAAATTGGGTTGGTGTTGTCGGCAGAGGATCGTGTTTCCGGCACTCTCCGAAGAGAATGTACTCTTGCGATTAAAATGCTTATCAGATGTGCTACCTTGAGCGCTAGACTCATTAGTTACGACCTGCGATGATTGTTTCGATTCTGAACGCTTTGATTCACTGCTCTCAGATTTCGATGACTTCGTAACGAACGTGGAATCGGAATGAGTTATATTGTTAACAGATTTGCTTTGACCCCCGTTAACTGCTGAGACAATATTGCTACTTCTGTTGTCATTACCTGATACATGAACTAATTTTCCTCCGATTATTTTTGACGTGGTAGATTGTTTTGCGATATTGGACGATTCTTGTCCAAGAACGATATTAGAGCTACCACGATGTTGATTTCGTCCTGATTGAGATTTCTGCATACTATCAGTTTTGGAGTCAGCCATTTCCTTAACGTGAACCAACTTACCGCCAACTAACTTAGTAGATTGGCTAGTACTGGAATGCTGATTAATGCTACTACTCGAGGTGGATTTTGTAACGGAATGTTCTTGTTTGGAGACTGCGCTTTGAACCTGCTTTTCCGAGTGAACATCATGTTTGCCTGCAACCTTTTCAGTCACCGTTCTTGTGACCCATTTACCACCGACCAACTTCTTCACCTGTACCTGTGAAGTACCACTCTTATCGAGGCCATTTTTGTGATGATCGACTTGAATAGACGTACCATGTATGATATTATTTACACGTTCTTTGTCAGTAACCGTATTTGTATACTCGTGCAAGGCAGCGTGACCATCGAATCCTGTCGATCGTTTTTCGTTAAATGATTTATCGACCTTAACTACGCCATCCTGAACAACTTTTTCAAGCCCTGATTGTTGTGTAACGGCTTTGTCCGTTATCACATTTCCATCAACAACAACACGATTACTTGCAGATGAAACGCTGGATCCCGAGTAATGTTCATGCGATGTGACATGAGATCCTGGTCCACCATGAGGACCACGTAGATCATGAGGTCCATGAGCACCATGTCCACCAAGCGGACCATGAGGTCCATGTCCATCATGCGGATCATGAGGACCATGTCCGTCAAGTGGATCATGAGGACCATGTCCACCAAGTGGGCCATGAGGACCATGTCCACCAAGTGGACCATGAGGACCATGCCCACCAAGTGGACTATGTGTACCATCGATCACAGTATCTGAAGAATGAATTATCTGTTGATTTGATGAAGACGATGTATGATGAGCTGATGATTTAGACGTCTTACTCGTTACGTAATGCTGCGAAGATATATTGTTCTGCTGAACATCTGATCCTTGTGTAATATTTTTCACAGATTGGGACGTAACATGAAGTCCAGGGCCACCAAGAGGACCATGTCCACGATGAGTTCTATGTGGCTCATGTCCATCCTGTGGACTATGTGAGCCATGCGGACTACGCGGATCATGTGGGCCATATGGCCCATCAATTACTCCATCTGAAGGATGGATAATATGTCGACTTGTTGAGGACGACGAATGAGCAGATGATTTCGACGTCTGGCTCGTTGAGTGTTGTTGTGTTCCCTGCATTATATTTTTCATAGATTGTTTCTGCGTGGAGGCCATTTCCTTCATAGATGAAGAATGAGTGACACCTGAATGGACGTGCTGCTGTACATCTCGAGACATCTTTTGTTCATTAACATTTTGAATTGTTCGCGAATCAATGACGTTCTGAGTCACGTGTCTCTGATTCATTTCATCTTGGGATAGATGAGACGTTGATGACGTGACCTGCTTGTGATGCCTTTCAGAAGCATGCGATAAACTGGTGTTGTCTTCTGTTTCCAATGTCGTAGTTTTCTGACCGGTAGCTTTGGGCTTTTCACCTTTGTGAATTGTAGTTACTGTCTGAGTGGTCACAAGTACAGCACCGTCAAGAATTCCATTTTCGTGAACTTCCTTAATTTCAGCTTCCTTGCGTTGTTTCTGTTCCTTATATTGTTTCAATGAATGGTATTCACCTTCAATGTGGAGATTGTCCTGAGGTTTCACTTGCTTAGGTCTCTCGGCTGGTTGATAACCTGGTTTTTCCACCGGCCTTTCAAATTCTCCTTCCGGTCGTAGATTATCACCGTGACGAATTGGTTTTTGTCTTTCTCCTGGCTGGTATTTTGGCTTTTCAGGCATGTCAAATGATCCTTCTGGTCGCAGATTATCTTCAGGACGAATTTGCTTCGGTCGTTCCGCTGGCTTAAACTGACTCTTTTCTGGACGTTCAAAGTCTCCTTCCGGTCGTAAATTATCACCATGACGAATTGGTTTTTGTCTTTCCCCATGCTGGTATTTGGGTTTTTCAGGTGTATCAAAAGATCCTTCAGGTCTCAGATTATCTACTGGGCGAACCTGCATTGGACGCTCAGCAGGTTGGAATGGCTTCTTTTCTGGACGTTCGAAATCTCCTTCGGGACGCAAATTGTCGCCATGGCGAATTGGCTTTTGTCTCTCACCCGGTTGATACTTCGGTTTTTCGGGAGACTCAAAAGCTCCTTCTGGTTTCAAATTGTCCTCAGGACGTATCTGCTTGGGACGTTCTGCAGGTTTGAATGGAATCTTCTCAGGGCGTTCAAAATCACCTTCTGGACGCAGGTTATCTCCATGCCGAATAGGTTTTTGCCGTTCTCCAGGAGAATACGTAGGTTTGTCTGGAGTTTCAAACGATCCCTCTGTTTTAAGATTGTCTTTTGGTATTACCTGCTTGGGTCTCTCCGCTGAACGATATTGGGGTTTTTCTGGAGTTGTGAAATCTCCTTCTGGTCTGAGATTATCATCAGGCTTTATTGGTTTCGGTCGCTCACCAGCAATGTAAACTGTCTTCTCAGTACGTTCGAATGATCCTTCCAGATGCAAATTATCCTCATGGCGAATAATTTGCGATCTTTCAACTTTCCCTAGAGTGACTGGATGTGGTCTTTCAAAATCACCCTCAGGTCGCAAGTTGTCTTGCGGTCGAACTTGTTTTGGCCTCTCTGCTGGTGTGAATCCGGTTTTCTCAGGGCGCTGGAAATCACCTTCTGGGCGCAGATTATCATCATGTCGAATTGGTTTCTGTCGTTCTCCAGGCTGATATCTAGGTTTTTCTGGTGTTTCAAATGACCCTTCTGGTTTTAAATTATCCTCCGGTCGGATTTGTTTCGGCCTCTCAGCAGGTTGGTATTGAGTTTTTTCGGGAGTAGTAAAATCACCCTCGGGTCTGAGGTTGTCGTCATGCCTTATTGGTTTGGGTCGTTCTGCAGCTACAAAGATATGCTTTTCAGTCCGTTCAAAAGAGCCTTCCAAATGCAAGTTATCCTCATGGCGAACGATTTGTGCTCGTTCCACTTTACCAACGACTGTTGGTTTAGGTCGTTCAAAGTTTCCTTCTGGACGAAGATTATCTTGCGGTCTGATTTGTTTTGGCCGTTCCGCTGGTTGGTATTGCGGTTTCTCGGGAGTAATAAACTCACCCTCTGGTCTCAAGTTGTCATCATGCTTAATGGGCTTCGGTCGTTCACCAGCAATATAAACCGATTTTTCAGTCCTTTCAAACACACCTTCCATGTGCAAATTATCTTCGTGTCTGATGATTTGAGATCTCTCTACTTTCCCAATAGACACGGGCTGTGGACGCTCAAATTCTCCTTCGGGGTGAAGATTGTCCTGAGGCCGGATTTGTTTTGGTCTTTCCGTAGGTTGATACTTCGGTTTATCGGGAGTATCAAACGATCCTTCAGGTCTCAGGTTATCCTCAGGGCGAATTTGTTTCGGACGTTCAGCTGGTCGGAATGGCGTCTTCTCAGGACGTTCAAATTCACCTTCTGGGCGCAAGTTATCATCATGACGTATTGGCTTCCGGCTCTCACCTGGTTGATACTTCGGCTTATCAAGAGATTCAAACGATCCTTCAGGTTTTAAATTATCCTCAGGGCGAATCTGCTTCGGACGTTCAGCTGGTCGGAATGGCGTCTTTTCAGGACGTTCGAAATCGCCTTCTGGACGCAAGTTATCGTCATGACGAATTGGCTTTCGACTCTCACCTGGTTGATACTTCGGTTTATCAGGCGATTCAAACGATCCTTCTGGTCTCAAGTTATCCTCAGGACGAATCTGTTTCGGACGTTCAGCTGGTCGGAATGGAGTCTTTTCAGGACGTTCGAATTCACCTTCTGGGCGTAGATTATCATCATGACGGATTGGCTTCCGACCCTCAGCTGGTTGATACTTCGGTTTATCAGGAGATTCAAACGATCCTTCAGGTTTTAGATTATCCTCAGGACGAATCTGTTTCGGACGTTCAGCTGATCGGAATGGAGTCTTTTCAGGACGTTCAAATTCACCTTCTGGGCGCAAGTTATCATCATGACGGATTGGTTTTCGACTCTCACCTGGTTGATACTTCGGTTTATCAGGAGATTCAAACGATCCTTCTGGTCTCAGGTTATCCTCAGGACGAATCTGTTTCGGACGTTCAGCTGGTCGGAATGGCGTCTTTTCAGGACGTTCGAATTCACCTTCTGGGCGCAGATTATCATCATGACGGATTGGCTTCCGACCCTCAGCTGGTTGATACTTCGGTTTATCAGGAGATTCAAACGATCCTTCAGGTTTTAGATTATCCTCAGGACGAATCTGTTTCGGACGTTCAGCTGGTCGGAATGGCGTCTTTTCAGGACGTTCAAATTCACCTTCTGGGCGCAGATTATCATCATGACGGATTGGCTTTCGACTCTCACCTGGTTGATACTTCGGTTTATCAGGAGATTCAAACGATCCTTCAGGTCTTAGATTGTCCTCAGGACGAATCTGTTTCGGACGTTCAGCTGGTCGGAATGGAGTCTTTTCAGGACGTTCAAATTCACCTTCTGGGCGCAAGTTATCATCATGACGGATTGGTTTTCGACTCTCACCTGGTTGATACTTCGGTTTATCAGGAGATTCAAACGATCCTTCAGGTCTTAGATTGTCCTCAGGACGAATCTGTTTCGGACGTTCAGCTGGTCGGAATGGAGTCTTTTCAGGACGTTCAAATTCACCTTCTGGGCGCAAGTTATCATCATGACGGATTGGTTTTCGACTCTCACCTGGTTGATACTTCGGTTTATCAGGAGCTTCAAACGATCCTTCTGGTCTCAGATTATCCTCGGGGCGAATCTGCTGTGGACGTTCAGCTGGTCGGAATGGAGTCTTTTCAGGACGTTCAAATTCACCTTCTGGGCGCAAGTTATCGTCATGACGTATTGGTTTTCGACTCTCACCTGGTTGATACCTCGGTTTGTCAGGAGATTCAAACGATCCTTCAGGCCTAAGATTATCCTCGGGGCGAATCTGTTTCGGACGTTCAGCTGGTCGGAATGGAGTCTTTTCAGGACGTTCGAATTCACCTTCTGGGCGTAGATTATCATCATGACGTATCGGCTTCCGACTCTCAGCTGGTTGATACTTCGGTTTATCAGGAGATTCAAACGATCCTTCAGGTCTTAGATTATCCTCAGGACGAATCTGTTTCGGACGTTCAGCTGGTCGGAATGGCGTCTTTTCAGGACGTTCAAATTCACCTTCTGGGCGCAGATTATCATCATGACGGATTGGCTTCCGACTCTCAGCTGGTTGATACTTCGGTTTATCAGGAGATTCAAACAATCCTTCTGGTCTCAGGTTATCCTCAGGACGAATCTGTTTCGGACGATCAGCTGGTCGAAATGGAGTCTTTTCAGGACGTTCAAATTCACCTTCTGGGCGCAAGTTATCATCATGACGGATTGGTTTTCGACTCTCTCCTGGTTGATACTTCGGCTTATCAGGAGATTCAAACGATCCTTCTGGTCTCAGGTTATCCTCAGGACGAATCTGTTTTGGACGTTCAGCTGGTCGGAATGGAGTCTTTTCAGGACGTTCGAATTCACCTTCTGGGCGTAAATTATCATCATGACGAATCGGCTTCCGACTCTCACCTGGTTGATACTTCGGTTTATCGGGAGATTCAAACGATCCTTCAGGTCTCAGGTTATCCTCGGGACGAATCTGCTTCGGACGTTCAGCTGGTCGGAATGGAGTCTTTTCAGGACGTTCGAATTCACCTTCTGGGCGTAGATTATCATCATGACGTATCGGCTTCCGACTCTCAGCTGGTTGATACTTCGGTTTATCAGGAGATTCAAACGATCCTTCTGGTCTCAGGTTATCCTCAGGGCGAATCTGTTTCGGACGTTCAGCTGGTCGGAATGGCGTCTTTTCAGGACGTTCAAATTCACCTTCTGGGCGCAGATTATCATCATGACGGATTGGCTTCCGACTCTCACCTGGTTGATACTTCGGTTTATCAGGAGATTCAAATGATCCTTCTGGTCTCAGGTTATCCTCGGGGCGAATCTGTTTCGGACGTTCAGCTGGTCGGAATGGCGTCTTTTCAGGACGTTCGAATTCACCTTCTGGGCGCAAGTTATCATCATGACGGATTGGCTTTCGACTCTCACCTGGTTGATACTTCGGTTTATCAGGAGATTCAAACGATCCTTCAGGTCTCAGATTATCCTCGGGGCGAATCTGCTGTGGACGTTCAGCTGGTCGGAATGGAGTCTTTTCAGGACGTTCGAATTCACCTTCTGGGCGCAAGTTATCGTCATGACGTATTGGTTTTCGACTCTCACCTGGTTGATACCGAGGCTTATCAGGAGATTCAAACGATCCTTCAGGTTTCAGGTTATCCTCAGGGCGAATCTGTTTCGGACGTTCAGCTGGTCGGAATGGAGTCTTTTCAGGACGTTCGAATTCACCTTCTGGGCGCAGATTATCATCATGACGTATCGGCTTCCGACTCTCACCTGGTTGATACTTCGGTTTATCAGGAGATTCAAATGATCCTTCTGGTCTCAGGTTATCCTCGGGGCGAATCTGTTTCGGACGTTCAGCTGGTCGGAATGGCGTCTTTTCAGGACGTTCGAATTCACCTTCTGGGCGCAAGTTATCATCATGACGGATTGGTTTTCGACTCTCACCTGGTTGATACCTGGGTTTATCAGGAGATTCAAACGATCCTTCAGGTCTCAGGTTATCCTCAGGGCGAATCTGTTTCGGACGTTCAGCTGATCGGAATGGAGTCTTTTCGGGACGTTCGAATTCACCTTCTGGGCGCAGATTATCATCATGACGTATCGGCTTCCGACTCTCACCTGGTTGATACTTCGGTTTATCAGGAGATTCAAATGATCCTTCAGGTCTCAGGTTATCCTCGGGGCGAATCTGCTGTGGACGTTCAGCTGGTCGGAATGGAATCTTTTCAGGACGTTCGAATTCACCCTCTGGGCGCAAGTTATCATCATGACGTATTGGTTTCCGACTCTCACCTGGTTGATACCGAGGCTTATCAGGAGACTCAAACGATCCTTCTGGTTTCAGGTTATCCTCGGGACGAATCTGTTTCGGACGTTCAGCTGGTTGGAAAGGAGTCTTCTCAGGACGTTCGAAGTCACCTTCTGGGCGTAGGTTATCATCATGACGTATCGGCTTTCGACTCTCACCTGGTTGATATCTCGGTTTATCAGGAGATTCAAACGATCCTTCAGGTCTCAGGTTATCCTCGGGGCGAATTTGCTTAGGACGTTCAGCTGGTCGGAATGGAATCTTTTCAGGACGTTCGAAGTCACCTTCTGGGCGCAAGTTATCATCATGACGGATTGGTTTCCGACTCTCACCTGGTTGATACCGAGGCTTATCAGGAGATTCAAACGATCCTTCAGGTCTCAGGTTATCCTCTGGACGAATCTGTTTTGGACGTTCAGCTGGTCGGAATGGAGTCTTTTCAGGACGTTCAAAGTCACCTTCTGGGCGCAAGTTATCGTCATGACGTATCGGCTTTCGACTCTCACCTGGTTGATATCTCGGTTTATCAGGAGATTCAAACGATCCTTCAGGTTTCAGGTTATCCTCAGGGCGAATCTGCTTCGGACGATCAGCTGGTCGGAATGGCGCCTTTTCAGGACGTTCAAATTCACCTTCTGGGCGCAAGTTGTCATCATGTTTAATGAGCTTGGATCGTTCGCCAGCCACATACACGTTTTTCTCCGTTCTTTCGAACGATCCCTCAAGGAATAAGTTGTCTTCATGCCTGATGATTTGTGATCGCTCACCATAACGGACGACAACCGCTTGAGGTCGTTGAAAATCTCCTTCGGGTCGAAGATTGTCCTCTGGGCGAATCTGTTTTGGACGTTCAGCTGGTCGGAACGGCATTTTTTCAGGGCGCTCGAAGTCACCTTCTGGGCGTAGATTATCGTCATGGCGAATCGGCTTTTGCCTCTCACCTTGTTGATATGTTGGCTTCTCAGGAGACTCAAACGATCCCTCTGGCCTCAGATTATCTTCTGGACGAACCTGTTTTCGACGCTCAGCTGGTCGGAATGGAGCCTTCTCAGGGCGCTCGAAGTCACCTTCTGGGCGCAAATTATCTTCATGGCGAATCGGCTTTTGTCTCTCACCTGGTTGATATTGGGGCTTATCGGGTGATTCAAACAATCCTTCTGGTCTCAGGTTATCCTCGGGGCGAATCTGCTTAGGACGTTCAGCTGGTCGGAATGGAATCTTTTCAGGACGTTCGAAATCACCTTCTGGGCGCAGATTATCATCATGACGGATTGGCTTCTGTCTCTCACCTGGTTGATATTTCGATTTCTCAGGAGACTCAAACAGTCCTTCAGGTTTTAGATTATCCTCAGGACGAATCTGTTTCGGACGCTCAGCTGGTCGGAATGGAGTCTTTTCTGGACGTTCAAAGTCTCCTTCTGGACGTAAGTTATCATCATGGCGTATTGGTTTTTGTCTCTCAACTGGTTGGTACCGGGGCTTATCGGGTGATTCGAACGATCCTTCAGGTCTTAAATTGTCTTCTGGGCGAATCTGCTTAGGACGCTCAGCAGGTCTGAATGGTATCTTCTCAGGGCGCTCAAAATCACCTTCTGGACGCAGATTATCATCATGACGGATTGGCTGCTGCCTCTCACCTGGTTGGTAACGAGGCTTATCAGGTGATTCAAATGAACCTTCTGATCTTAGATTGTCCTCTGGACGTATCTGCTTGGGACGTTCAGCAGCTAGGAATGGAGTCGTCTCAGGACGCTCGAAGTCACCCTCTGGACGTAAATTATCATCATGGCGTATTGGTTTCCGTCTATCACCGGGCTGATATTTTGGCTTGTCGGGTGTTTCAAAAGATCCTTCTGGTCGCAGATTGTCTTGTGGGCGTATTTGTTTCGGACGATCACCTGGCTGAAATGATGTCTTTTCCGGACGCTCAAAGTCACCTTCGGGACGAAGATTATCATCATGCCGTATAGGTTTTTGACGTTCACCTGGTTGATATTTTGACTTTTCTGGAGTGTTAAAAGATCCTTCGGGCCTAAGGTTATCTTCTGGTCGTATCTGCTTCGGCCGTTCGGCAGGTTGGAAAGGCGTCTTTTCTGGTCGCACAAAATCACCTTCCGGTCGAAGGTTATCTTCATGGCGGATCGGCTTCTGTCTTTCAGTTACATACGTCGATTCTTTTATTTTAGTAATGTCGACATTTTCGAAATCTTCCTTTGTCCATGTAAGCCTACGATTGGACACGTTTTGCTCGGTACTGCTTCGTTCGATGGTTGATGCCTCTACACGATTTCGGTAGTTTTCTGCATCTTCTTTTGTCCAGGTTCGTCTGCGAACAAAGGTACTTTCTTCGTTTACTTGAGAGGATTCTGGAAAATAATACAGTAATAAAAACATGATTTAACAAGATCATTGTTGTTGAAGAAGCTTACCTTGCTGATAGAAATTTTCTGTGGTACTGACAGCTGAGGCAAACTTCGACGATGATGTCTGTTGGGTAGTTCCACTACCACAGTTGTAGCAATTATGACGACTGGAAGAAAACATAAGGCAAGATTACAAAATTAATTTGCTTTCTTTATGAGATTATATAAAAAATAGAAAATAACAGCAAATATTGCTGAATACAAATCAATATTACCAGGGCTAGATATTTTTGAAGCCCTGTGTTCAACGCATCATTTCTATAACGCCTAGCTAGACTATCAGCATGAAACGAAAATGAAAATGAAGCACGCTTAGAACGTCATGAAACCTCTGTTTATGTGTTTCATGAAAGACGAAACTATCAAAGTCTAGCGCTCTTTCACTCGTCCGAGACCAATGAAGGAACGGAAGAATGAGAGACAAGCGATTGAAAATTGGTTTGTAATTGCCGACTGAGGTTCTAGAATGCTGCAAAACTGTTCGACTTCAACAGAAAAATAAAGCTAGCAGTCTCTCCATCGCAAGGATTTTGTCAATTGAAGCTGATTTTGTGACGCCCTGGGTATTACAGATAAGCTTGTTATTTAAATGGGAAATTTACTTTAGAGCAGTATCAAAAATTTAAAGGCAGCTTTTTCGTAACCTTATTTCAGATTGCGAAAACCAATCTGAGTAAGCCTACTTGTAGGAGTGAAAACTAGTTAGAACCAAATCGACATCGGTTAGGCTTCTTGATGTCATTTGTGACAACTGTCAAACTTTCCGTTTCCGTTCCGCTTCCGTCTACATTGCGTTTGGGCTTTAACTCTTCCACATTTCTCGAAATTTCTCTCTACCTCGTCAGGCAGTTCCTTTAGATTCCCATACATCAAGTTCTCTACAGGTCGATAGTCTCTCTATCTCGAACTTTCCCTAGAAAATATTCAGGAACAAATTACCGTAATTCCCAGACAACCAGAAGTCGTATAACAATGTACACACAGTATCGTAAATAGCTACAGTTTAAGTAAAAATCGCATAAAAGAATGGCATACATCGCATTATGTTTAAGTTAAATCGTATAGAATGCAAATTTCCGACCTATATACGATGACTCAATTTTCCGTCGTACTGTATCACAAATTAAATCGGATTACATCGTAAAACTTTTCAAAATGAATTTGTTATTACAGATCAAATCGTATATGATGTTCAATCAACTCGTTTAAAATTAAATTAAAATATGCGCGTAATTGGCCTCCACTTTTGTACGAATAAACCATTTATTTGCATTCAATACGAATTGTTTTTTGTATATATGTTTGTAAATCACGAAAACAACTTTGAATATACGTGTATTCTGGTTGTCTGGGTTGCTCGAAATCCAGACAATCTTTAATATTGATAATTACTGCCTACTGTGCTCAAAACAGCAAGGAAATGTTATCATAGATTTTTAGTTTTGTTCAGAATCATAACACTTAGTTATTATGATGCAAAATAGCCAAAATATTTAATAAAAAAATCGTCCAGTATTATCCAGAAAATCGATCGAGAAGGTGTTTGTCAAAATTGATTGTCATTGAACTTCAAAAAGAAATAAAGTGTGATCATTTATACAATATCATAATCACTGTGCACTTTATCATGATTGACCAGTTTTTTACCGTTCCACCCTTTATTACATTGAAAAAGATTAATTTTTATGTTGACTGGCCTGAGCAAATAAAACTCTGAGGCATTATTTTGAGTGCATAAGTCTACTTTGGTGCAAAACGCGCAATACAAACTTGGAGAAACTTTTCCGTCACTTACAGAAATATTCAAGCTTTTAATACCAACCCTGTTTGGATGATCTTCAAAATGTTGGCTTAGAGTCGTGTTGATTAACTCTGATGTCGACATCAAAGCAGCTGGATATTTTGAATTGGAGTTTAAAAAAAGTTTAAAAAAATTGTCACAAATGAATTTTGATAATCTTTGTTGTGTATGTAAAATTATTTACGCTCGATAAAAATACTTTCTGGCATCACTGCCGTTCAGTTATGAAATGTAAAACAAAAAGATACTATCGCTTTTTCGTCGGTAATCGTTTTATTCGCTTTAGACGGTTCGACTATGATAACCGGACAATAAATATAAGTTTTAAAAAGTATTCGTGGTTGTCTTCTATATTTCCGAGATCCCAAAATACGCTACAATTTGGTGTCAGAAGTGGGATTTAGAGGCAAAAGTTTTCCGGTCGAAAGTAAAACGCGTAAGTTTCGGTCTCGCGAAAAGCAAAATGGCTACCGAAGAGCTAATGGTATCTCTGACGCGGATATTAGCCGATGCCCTAAAATCCCCCATTGAAAGTTTGGGACAAGCGAATCCCGCGAGAGAAGCGACAGCGCCATCCGTTAAGACACCCTCGTTTTCCGTCTCCGAGTTTCGTTCTTCGGAAAGCACATCTGTCTCGGATTATTTCAACCGCTTTGAATGGGCTCTGCAATTGAGCAATATTCCGGCAGCTCAATACGCACACTATACTCGAGTGCATATGGGTACGGAGTTGAACATCAAGTTCCTGGTGAGTCCCCGTGATCCGGTAGAGATCCCGTACGAGGAGCTCCGTACTGCATTAGTGCACCACTTTGCCCAGGCAAGGGACAAGTACGTTGAGAGCATCAAGTTCCGGGAAATATTGCAGCATAAGGGCGAATCGGTTTCCAGTTTTGTTCTCCGGCACAAACAAGGTGCTGCATATTGCGAGTATGGAGAATTCCTCGATAGGATGCTGATCGAGCAGCTCCTACACGGCCTTGAATCGCGCGAGATGTGTGACGAGATTATCGCCAAGAAACCGGCAACGATCAAATCGGCTTTTGAAGTTGCACACACACTTGAAGCCAGCCGCAATACGGCCAAGGACGTGCGAACGGCAAGATCATCGTTGATTCCAGAGGCGACCAACAAGCTGGGCTACGAGCGACCGAAGACGCGGAGAATCAACCCTAGCAGCTTCTCCTCGTCACATCAACAAAGACAACACCAACAAAAGTGTAGTGAAAAACTAACACACGAGCAAACCAGTGCAAGTTCCGTGATGCGAAATGCTACAACTGCGAAAGGAAGGGCCACATCTCCAAAGTCTGCAAAGCCACTAGGCAGAAATCCCAGGACCAATCCACCTCCCAAGTGCAATTGGAAGCTACCAGTTTCGCAAGTACACGAAACGAAAATCAATTATTTTATTCATGTGTTTCACTTATACATTTTGCCAAAACATCAGCCTTATACATTCCATAAGACAAACCACATAAGTCCTATAAGAATGCATAAATGGTATGTGTGACCGCTTATACATTTCATTTGACACATGATCTTCATTAACTTTTTGCAAGGCGTCTGTTTATTAATTGACTTATACATTTTATGAATAATCAGCAATAGAAATTTGCCAAAAGGTATAAGGAGATTTCTATCCGTGTAGACATCGTCGGACACGGGTTGACACGATCGACGGACACGGGTTGGAAATGGAAGTAGACACCGGAGCACCGTGCGGAATAATCAGTGAAGCCAAACTAAGGGCGATCAAACCATCGTTTGAACTGCTGCGAACAGACCGGCAATTCTCCAGTAACACTGGGCATCGCATTCAATGTTTGGGTCTTCTTCCAGTGAACGTCAGCATCGGAACGACTACTCGCAAACTTGATTTGTACGTCGTGTCTGGTGACACTGATACGCTTTGTGGCAGAGAATGGATTGCCCAGCTTACGGCTGAAGTGAATTTGAACAAGCTGTTCACCCCAACTGGTGCGGTGCATTCGATTGTGTCTGCCTCTCCTATGTTGCTGGTGGAACAACGGCAGTCTCTATCGCAACTGTTGGCAAATTACGATGACGTTTTTAGTGAGACTCCTGGTAAGCTAATAGGTCCGCCCGCATCCGTTCACCTGAAAACGGGAGCAGTTCCAGTTTTCCGCCGAAGCTCAAGACGTACCACTGGCATTAAAGAAGCAGTATGCCCAAGAAATCGACAAGAAGCTTGCAGCAGAGCTCGAGAGAGTCGACTACTCTGAATGGGCGTCCCCCACCCACATCGTTGTGAAGAAGAATGGAAAACTACGCATCACCGGTAACTACAAGCCAACGGTAAATCGCCGGATGATTATCGACGAACACCCGATTTCCAAGATCGAGTCCATCTTCCACCAAATGAAAGGAGCCAGTCTATTCTGTCACCTGGACGTGACGGATGCTTACACCCACCTCCCAATCGACGCGAAGTTTCGACATGTTCTCACGCTTAACACACCAACACACGGGTTGGTTCGTCCGACAAGAGCGGTCTACAGAGAGCAAACATCCCTGCGATCTGGCAGCGTCGAATGGAAACAGTGCTCCAAGGTTTGTCCAATGTCATTAATTTGTATGACGACGTTATAGCATAGAGGTAACTCTAAGACCAGAAGGTCCCGAAGAAACGAGCTCTACTTTTTGGCTTAGCTCTGGTACTATCTTCGGTCGGATCGATTAGCTTGATTCACCCCTCGAAACATAAGAAAATCCACTAACCCCTCATTTTATCTGTCAAACTTTCATAGCGAATCAAAACAAACATTGTGTAGTACTGAAATCTATACTAGAATGGGGTAAGTTAGTCGATTTACTTGGGACCAATAGGCTAGTCAAGTAGTGAGCCAATTTGAAATCGTTAGTTTCGTATTGATTGTTATTTATAGCCTTTGCAGATTGTTTCAAAAACCTGATGGTAGTCCTCACAGCAGTATTCAACAGAATAAAGCACCACGGTTTATGTCTAAATCGTTCGAAATGTGTCTTCGCCACCCCGGTACTCGAATGCCTGGGTCATGAAATCGATGCAAATGGGTCGAACAAATATGACCAACACATCGAACCCATACGTAATGCACCTCGTCCGTCGAATACGGATGAGCTACAGCTGTTTTTGGGAAACACCCCTTACTACAACGCTTTCATTCCCAATCTCTCCACACGATCTCGCTGTCTGCGTGACATGTTGCAAGGGGAACCTTTTGTGTGGAAACCTGAGCGGGTCGCAGCTTACAAAGACATCAAATCTTCCCTCATCTCTCCACAGGTGCTGATGCAGTACGA